GATGATGATGCTGATGATGATGATGATGACGATTCTGATGATGATGATGATGATGATGATGATGATGATGATGATGATGATGATGATGATGATGATGATGACGCTGATGATGCTGATGATGATGCTGATGATGCTGCTGATGATGCTGCTGCTGCTGATGATGATGCTGATGATGATAATGATGATGATGGCTGATGATGATAACGATGATGCTGATGCTTCTGCTGCTGATGACGCTGCTGCTGCTGATGATGATGCCTGATGATGAGAGATGATGATGATGATGATGAGATGATGGAGGAGGAGGAGGAGAGGAGGAGGAGGAGGAGGAAAGGAGGAGGGATGGAGAGGAGGAGGAGGAAAGAGGAGGAGGAGGAGGAAGAGGAGGAGGCGGCGGCGGCGGCGCGGGCGGGCGGGCGGGCGGGCGGGCGGGAGGGAGGGAGGGAGGGAGGGAGGGAGGAGGGAGGAGGAGGAGCAGGAGGAGGATGAGGAGGAGGAGGAGGAGAGGAGGAGGAGGGCAGGAACCATTCCAGATAGCACGCGGCGTCTTACCACGTGCAGCGTGGCAGCGGCGCAGTGGCGGAGTTGTTGACGCGCGCCGACGTCGACGCCGCTCAGAGAGCAGACATCGAGGGCTGTCGGAAGGTTTCTGGGGGCCGTTTGGGTTTCCCAACAATCTTGTGGTGTTGGGGCCTCGTTTTGAAGAGACAGCGCCCCGCGTTTCCCCTCCTCTCCCGTCCTCCTCCACCTCCCTGCCTCTGTTCCTCTCCGCTCCTCCTCATCCTTTGCCTCTGCCCTCCTCACGTTCTCATCTTCGTCATGTTCAACCGCAACTTCAGCGCACCCCTCACACGTTCCCTGGCCCCATAAAGTTGCTCCACCGAAGTCCTCAGTGGCACGCTTCGTGGGCCCATGTGTGGCCCACCTAAGGCCCCAGTGGCAGGGCCGGCATGGAGTTCCACCACAATTTCGGCGCACTCCTCACATGTTTCGTTGCCCCATAGGGTGCTCCACCGAAGTCTCCTGTGGCAGGGTCCGCATGCAGTTCTACCTCCATTTCGGCGCACACCTTACACATTCCGTGGCCCCACAGGGTGCTCCACCGAAGGCTCAAGTGGCAGGGTCCGCATGGCGGCTCACACGTTTCGTGGCCCTATGAGGAGCTCCACCCAAGGCCCCAGCGGGAGGGTCTGGTTCCACCTCCAATTTGGCGCACCCCTCACACGTTTCGTTGTCCCATCGGGTGCTCCACCAAAGTCCCCAGCGGCAGGGCCCGCATGCAGTCTCTAATCCGGCGCACACCTCACACGTTTCGTGGTCCCATAGGATGCTCCACCGAAGACCCCAGTGGCAGGGTCGGGTTTGGTTCCACCTAGATTGCGGCGCACTCCTCACACGTTTCGTGACCCCATAGGGTGCTCCACCGAAGGCCAATGACGCAGGGTCCGCATGCATCCCAGCCTCCCCTGTCGATGCACCCCTCACACGTTTCGTGGCCTGTAGGGAGATCCACCGGGGCCCCAGCGGCGCAGCCCGCATGCATCACAGCCACTCATGTTGGTACACCCCTCACACGTTTCGTGGCCCCATTGGGACTACGGCCCCGTTGGCAGCGCCCGTACGGCGGTCCCGCCCCATGTCGGCACACCCTTCACGCGCTTCGTGGCCCCAGAAGGGGATCCACCTAAGGCGATACTCACAACGATGGTACTCACGAGTGCATATGGTTGGGGTCTCTTGCCAGACGAATTGTTCCCTACCTAGGCTCTGCCTAGAAGGGTTCTTTCCTCTCTATCTTGAAGGGGCCGGGCAGTGTTGCCCGCCCCGGGCGGTTCCCCCAGTCCCCGCCCCGCGGTTCCCCCAGTTTCGCCCCTTACCTTAGCTTTGCGTATCTCATCTTAGGTTAGCTTAGCTTAGCTGAGCTTCATCTTAGCTTCGCCTAGCTGTAGCTTAGCTTAGCTTAACTTAACTTAGCATAGCATAGCATGTCATAGCATAGCCCAGCATATCATAGCACATCGCACCATAACATAGCATAGCATAGCATAACATAGCGCAGCACAGCACAACATAGCGCAGCATAGCGCAGCATAGCATAGCATACCATAACCTAGCACAACATAGCGCAGCCTAGCGTAGCACAGCATAGCGCAGCATAGCGCAGCATAGCATAGCATAGCATAGCATAGCATAGCATAGCATATCATATCATAACATATCATAGCACAGCATAGCATAGCATCGCATAGTGCAGCATAGCATATCATACCATAGCATAGCAGCAAAGCAAAGGCAAACCAACAGCAGCAACAGCAAAGCAAAGCAACATACAAACAACGCAAAGCACAGCAAAGCAAAAGCAACAGCAATGCGAAGGAAAGGCAACACGAAAACAATGTGCGACAGATGCCGAGCTAGCCTCGATGGCCGGATCGGAGCCCCCGCAAACAGTGCCTTCCGTAGCCATTTCGGCTCAAACCCGGAGGCCCTGCCACACAGCCGCTCACGCTCATGTCCCGAGGTTGGCGGACTGAGGCTTTCAGCGGTGCTGCACGGCCCGCCTCGGCACCAGGTGGTGCTGCGCAGCCCACCCCGCCTGTTGTGGCCATCGATGTGAGCGACGTCGCGTCCAAGCGGAACGGCGATCAGCGGGTTGAAGGCAGCGAGATGTACACGGCTGTCGAGGAGGGCTTCTGGGCGTTCGTTGTGCTCTTTGCGGCTGAGTTCGGCCTTCAGGACATGCATTTCATCAGTCGCACGACGCGGGGCACGTGGCCATCGCACCTTGCCCGCCTGGGGAGGGTAGAGGCGTGGGTCGTCAGGCTGATCTGGAGCGCAGGCTTGCTCGAGATAGGGATGCCTCAGGCGAACATCCATTTGACGTCTGAGAAGAGCTGGCGGGATGGTAAGGGTGTTGCTTCTCGGGACTTGCAGCTGACCCGCATGATCGACGACGATCTCCAGTGCTTGTGGAGTGTCTTGAACGACCGAGCTGGCAACTTGGGCCTGTCGATCAGGCGGGGCAAGGGCCGCGTCATCCAGCGCGTGCGCCTCCGCCCTGTGCGCGGCAGGTGGTGGCGTGATGAAGGCGACGACTGGCTGGAGAGGTGCGACTCGTGGTTCCAGGTTGCCGAATGCTTCCAACTGGAGCCACTTGACATCTGGGAGGAGTTGATGAAGCTCGGGCCGCCGGTGATGCCCCGCCCCGGTCGCGCGAAGGCAGGTCCCTGACAGCGGCGGACGTGATCGATCTGTGTCAAAGCGGTGGTCGCCGCGAGCCTAGCCGCCGTCGCGGCCGTCTGCGCCGTCGTCGCGGCGACGACGACGACGATCATGCTGGTGAGCCTCGCCGAGTTGAGGCCGGGCGCCGCAGGTACGGTGGCGCTGCGCAGCCCGCGCTCCGAGCGGGGCCATGCAGCGCCAGCGGGGATGTCTCGGTGGTGCTGCGCAGCCCACCTTCCCGCGCAGGGAAGCGGCTTTCGCGTGAACAGGAGATGAAGCGTGTCCTAGCTGTCTACCGAGGCGAAGTTCTACGCTCTGCGTCGACCAAGTCATCTTTAGAAGACATTCGCTGTGACAAAGACATGACATTGGAAGATCTTGAGGACGTCTTCAACTCCGGCAGAACCATGATAGTGGACACCCTGACTGAGCCTCGCATCGATATCGCCTTAGTGGCAGATCTCTCCGATGGCAGGATTGCCGAGGGAAACTTGGTAGATATGGCGAGTGATGCACTGACCGCTCCGGTCGCCTTCCACTTCTCGGCCACGGGTAGTTGCCGGGTTCAGACGTTAATTTTTTTGGGCGCTTTCCTGGGTCGCCAGAGGCGCCTTTGGGCCGTCGTGGGCAGTCTTGGGCCCCTCTGGGGCCGTCTTGGGGCCACATTGGGTTGTCTTGGGCCGTTCCTGGGGTCCTGGTCGAAGGAGAAACGCGCCATAAACATAAACTTTTGGCGCTTCGCGCGGGTTCCTTGGATCCGCGCTGGGCCCCCCTCGCGGTTCCTCTGGCGCCGCCACGTTTGGCGCAGATTTAGGAAACCCGCGCGGAGCGCCACAAGGTTTTTTGTACGTTTATAACATGTTTTATTTGTTTAGCTGGGGCTGTCGCAGAGGCCCCGGAGGCCGTCCCAGGGCCCTATGGAATCGTCTTGGCGCCCTCGTAGGGGCTTCTTGGGCCGCTTTGGGGCGATCCATCAGGCCCCAGAGGCCGTCTTGGAAGTATTGAAAACCCCATAGGCAGATCTAGGATCTAGGAGACCTGGAACCGATTGTGGAAGTGGTCAAAACTGGATATGCTGAAAAGAACATTTACCCAAAGAGAACAGGACGATTTTTGCTTGTTGGGGCCCGTTGGGGGGTCCTCCTGGAACCCTCTGGGGGCGGCGTCTTAGAGGAAACTTCTGGAGCTGTCCTGAGGCCATCATGGGTCGTCCTGGTGCCATCTGGGGTCACGTGGAACCCATGTTGTTGGGGCGTCTTGGAGCTTCTGGCGCCCATTTCGAAGCCACCTGGGGTTGTCCGGAATCATTTCTGGGAGGGATGAGGCCCCCGGCCTTTTTGGCTGGACTCCCCCTTAAACAGGCCGGGCCCGGCTCCCGGGGGAGGGATGTGGGCAGGGGCAACAGTCTCACACGCCGAGTAGATCCCAAGGGGTCCGCGAATTTTGCGGGAGGGGCGGGTGGGAATTCACGGGGTTTGCTGACTCGTTCGCCCCACTCTGCTCCCTGCTCCCTGCTCCCTCTTCCCCTCTTTCCCTCTTCCTTCTCCCACCTCCTTCGTCCCCCCTCGTCGCTTGACTCAGGCCGCGCCAGGACCGCGTCATGTTCAGGATTTGGAGCCGAATCTGGTCGTGGTGACGAAGGGGCGCCTGGAACCCCCGAGAGAGCGAAAACATGGCGAACATTTCGAAGCTCGATTCCCCTCCCTCCTCCCCCCCTCGCTCCCTCTCCCTCCTCCTCCCCTCCCTCCCTCCTCCGCCCTGGCGGCGCAGAGACCGAGGAGCCCGTGCCCCCGAACAGATCGCTGCACACCCTTTACGCCTTCTATGTGTACTCAGAGACGGAGGCGCCGCTGGCGCGGCCTATTCGCCAGAGCGCGTTGCGCGAGGAGTTTGGGGAGGAGGAGAAAGAAAGGGAGGGAGTTGGAGGAGGAGGAGGAGGACGGGGAGGGGGAGGAGGAGGGGGATGGGGAGGAGGGGGAAGGAGGATGGCGAGGAGGATGGCGAGGAGGTGGAGGAGGTCGAGAGGGGGGCGATGATGAGGATGATGGTGGTATGGTAATGGTAATGATATAACGATGATGGTGCTGATGCTGCTGATGCTGATGATGATGCAGATGATGGTGATGATGATGATGAGGATGATGATGATTACGACGATGACGATGATGATGATGATGATGATGATGACGACTGAAGGTGATGGTGATGACGATGCCCATGCCATGGTGACGGTGCTAATGGTGATGATGATGATGAAGCTGGTGATGATGATTATGATGATGCTGATGATGCTGCTGCTGATGATACTGATGCTGCTGGCGACGCCGATGATGATGAGGACGGAGGATTCCGATGATGATACTTATAATGATCATGACGGCGATGCTGCTGCTGATGATGCTACTGCTGACGATGCTGCTGATGATGACGATGATCATGATGATCATGATGACGGCCTTGAAGATGCTGCTGCTGAAGATGATGCTGATGATGACCAGGAGGATAATGACGACGGTGCTTCTGCTGCTGCTGCTGATGGCCTTTATGGTGACGATTACGATGATGATGATGATGGTGATGATGATGCTAATCATGATGCTGATGATAATACGGATGATGACGACGACGACTACGATGATGATGCTGATGATGATGATGATGCTGATGCTGATGCTGGTGCTGGTGCTGGTGCTGCTTATGATGCTGATGTTGATATTGATGTTGATGCTGATGTTGATGACGAAGAAGAAGATGATGATGAAGTTGATGATGATGACGATGATGGTGATGGTGATGATGATTCTGATAACGATGATGCTGATGATGCTGCTGATGATGCTGATGATGCTGATGATGATGCTAATGATGCTGTTATCGTTGTAGTTGATCATGATGATGCTGCCGCTGTTTCTTATGATGCCTATGATGATGATGCTGTTGATCAGGGCAATGCTGCTGTTGCTGCTGCTGCTGATGATGATGGTGACGACGATGATTTTGTCGATGTTAATGATGAGGACGGTGATGATGATGCTGATGATGATGATGATTATGATACTGTGGATGATGCTGATGATGATGATGATGATGATGATTGTGATGCTGCGGACGATGATGATGATGATGATCATGATCATGATCATGATCATAATGATGCTGCTGATGATGATGATTATCATGACGATTATGATGATGATGATGCTGTGGATGCGGATGACGACGACGATGTTGATGATGATGCTGATGATGATGATGATGATGCTGTCACCATGACGGGGCTGCTTGTAATGCTGGCAATGATGATGATGCTGTTGACGTTCATCATCCCGGCGACGATGATGATGCTGCTGATGATGATGATGATGAGGATGATGATGCTAAGGATGATGATGCTGCTGCTGAAGATGATGATGATGATGATGATGCGGATGATGATGATGATGATGATGATGATGATCAACAGGATGATGGCGATGCTGATGATGATGCTGCTGCTGCCGCTGCTGCTGATTATGCTCCTGATGATGTTAATGTTTATCAGGATGATGCTGCTCTTGCTGCTGCTGATGATGATGATGGTGATGATGAAAGTGGTTATGACGATGATGCTGTCAACGATGAATCTGGTGATGATGAGGATGATGCTGCTGCTGCTGATGATGATGATGATGCTGATGATCCTGATGATGATGATGATGATGATGATGATGATGATGATGATGATGATGATGGTGCTGCGGATGAAGATGATGATGATCATGATGATGATGCTGATGATGCTGAAGCTGATGCTGATGCTGATGACGATGATGATGATCTCGCTGATGATGATGATGATGGTGATGATGATGATGTTGATGCTGATGATGATGACGATGATGATGATGATGATTATAACGATGTCATGATGACGAGGCCAATGTAATGTTGACACGGATGATGATGCTGCTGATCATGCTGCCGATGACGATGATGCTGATGATGATGACGATGCTGATTATGATGATGATGATGATGATGATGATGATGATGAAGCTGATGACGATGATGCTGATGCTGCTGCTGATGATGATGATGATGATGATGATGATGATGATGATAATGGTGGTTGTGGTGATGATGATGCTGCTGCTGCTGATGATGATGATCATGATGCCTATGATGCTGATGCTGATGCTGATGCTGATGCTGGTGCTTGTGCTGCTGATGGTTGTGATGCTTTTGATCATGACGCGGCTGCTGATGATGCTGCTGCAGATGATAATGATGATGATGATGATGATGATGATGCTGCTGAGAATGATGATGATGATGATGATGATGATGATGATGATGATGACGTTGACTTTGACGTGGGCGATGATGATTATGATGATGATCATGATGATGATGCTGCTGCTGGTGAGGATGAGGATGATGATGATTACGACAGTGATGCTGATGATGACGATGCTGATGCTGATGAAGGAGGTGAAGGACATGAAGGCGTTGCAGAAAATAATGATGCTGATGATGGTGATAATGATGATGATGATAAGGACGCTGATGCTGCTGATGATAATGTTGTTGTTGATGATGACGATGATGGTGATGTGGCTGATGAGGCTGATTAGGCTGATTATCATGATGATGAGGGTGATGCGGATAATAATGATGATGATGATGATGATGATGATGATGATGATGATGCTGATGTTGATGATGATGATGAGGATGATGAGGATGAGGATGATGAGAATGATGAGGATGAGGAGGATGATGCTGCTGCTGATGATGATGATGATGATGATGATGAGGATGACGATGAGAGGTAGGGCGCACATCCATTTGCAAGACAGATTATTGATGCTGATGATGGTATGTTGATATGAGCTGCTGCTGATGATGATGATAATGATATAGATAATGAGATGATGAGATGATGATGATGATGATGATGCGAGAAGATGATGATGATGATAGATGATAATGATGCTGATATGATGCTGTGATGATGGATATTGATGTGGTGGTGGTGGTGATGATGATGATGATGATGATGATGATGATGAGGAGGAGGAGGAGGAGGAGGAGGAGGAGGAAGGAGGGGGGGAAGAGAGCGCGGACGAGGACGAGGACGGTGGCCCGCCTTCCAAGAGGCAGGGCTAAGCGAGGAGGGTGAGGTGGGCGAAGGGTGGAGGGGGACAGGCAGCGCAGGAGAGGGAGTGGGCGGAAGAGGGAGATGAGATAGGGTGAGTGCGTTTCAGTGTGTGTGTGTGTGTGTGTGTGTGCGCGTGTCCGTAGCCCTTTTGGCTCAAGCCGTCTCCCCGGTGTGTTCCCCCGGGGTCAGTGCTCGAGGTTGGCCGGCGCGGCCTGGAGGGCGCGGTCGGGCCGCGCGCTTGACCGCCGCCGCCGCCGCCTCGCCATGACGCCCCTTGAGTCCCCAGACGCCTGGCGGCGGCGGCAGCGGCAGGTGCGCTCCGCGATGGCCACCGCTGCCGCTGGCGCCTCCGCTGGCCCACCGGCCACCGCCGCCGCTCCAGGAGCTGGGCGCTCGAGGCGCTAGCGCCGCAGGCGCGGTGGGCGCCGCCGGCGGCGCGGGCGCCGGCCGCCGTCTCCGCCGCAGGCGCCGAAGCGCGGCTGACGCCTCTGGCGCCATTGGCGCCGCGGCTGGGCTGCCGCGGGCGTCGTTGGCGCTGCGGGCGCCGCCGGCGCTGCCAGCGCTGTGGGCGCCGCGGGCTGCGTTGCTGACGCCGCCAGCGCCTCGGGCGCTGGGGTGGCTGCTGGCGACGCGCGCGTTGGCGCCGCCTGCGCCGCGGGCGCCGCTGGCGCTGCAGGTGGGGGCCAGGGGCCGGGCCGCGGCCGCTGGCTGCGCCGCGGGTGTTGCTGCCGCCGCGGGGGCCGCCGCTGCCGCTGCGACGGCTGCCGCTGCCGCTGGTCTTTGGGAAGCGGGGGCGGCGCTGGCACAGGGGGCTGCGCGCGCGGTAGCTGCGGCGCACTGCCCTGCCGTGCCCTCCGCCCACCCCGCCGCCTTCTACGACGCCAGGCCCCCCAGCGTGCCCGACGCTTCACCCGACGCCCAGCTCCACGAGATCAGGTACAGTGCCGAAATTAGCGGACCCGAGGTCTGTGAGCAGTGTCACATGGCCGCGGCGCTGCTCTGCGAGGTTCAGCACCCCACCCTGCCTTCCGACGCGAACCCTTACGTTCAGCCCTCCGCCCATCCACCCGCCCTGTACCGCCAGCCCGGCGCCCAGCTGGAATCCCCACCCGCCGCCCGACCCGACCCCCTGGAGCATCGATTCGGTTCGGTCCGGTTCTGCAGCCGGTTCGGTTTTACTTGGCCGGTTCGGTTTTGACGTCTGTTCGGTTTCGGCCGGTTCGGCTTGGGTCTGCCGCCGGTTCGGTTCGGTTCCGATTTTCGCGCGGTTCGGTCCGACCGGTTCGGTTCGGTTCCATTGGCCGGTCCAGTTCGGTTCGGCCCGATTGGTCGGGTGCGACGTTGGGCGCCCCGTGCGCGTACGCGACGACCCAGTTTGAAAACAAGAGGAGGAGCAGGAGGAGGAGGAGGAGGAGGAGGAAGAGGAGGAAGAGGAGGAGGAGGAGGAGGAGGAGGAGGAGGAGGAGGAGCGAGGCACGAGGAGCGAGGAGCAGGGCCGACGACGCCGACGCCGAGGTGCCCAGCCGTGGCCCCGTGTTGTCGTTCCGTCGTCGTTCCGTTGTTCGTCGCCGTCGTCGCTGTCGTCGTCGCCGTTGCTGGCGTTGTCGTCGTCGTCGTCGTCGTCGTCGTCGTCGTCGTCGTCGTCGTCGTCGTCGTCGTCATCGTAGGACGGCCTGACCTCGCGAACCGCCAGGGGGGGAGGAACCAGCGTTCTGACGAGGATCTCCAGGCGGATCCAGCCTCGGCGACGAGGAGCCCGCGAGCGGGCCCGAAACGCACGAAACGCACGAGCGACCCGTCGCCGCCCCGCCGCCCCCGGCGTCGCCGCCGCCGCTGCCGCCGTTGAGCTCGGAGGGCCAAGGTTTGAGGTTCGGCCCCTGGGGGTTCACGGCTGGATCCGCCTCGAGATGCTTGCCCCCGCCTCCCTCCCTCGAGAGGGCCGCCGCCGCCGACGACGATGGGGTCCAACGACGAGGTCCTGGTCTCGGACCAGGGGGGGGTCCGGACCGGGAGCGGCCTCCGAAGCTTTGCTTGCCTCAGTGCTCTGCCTGGTGGGTCGTCCTGCCCCCCCGATTCCCGCCGTCGTGCGTGGCTTCTCCTCTCTCCTTCTGCTCGTTCCTCGGGTCGTCACCTGCGGCCTCGTCCTCCCTTCCTTGCTCGTCGGGTTGTTGCGGTCGCTACCCGCTTCTCCCTCCCCCCTCCCCCAGTTTCGGGTTCGTGCCGGTCCCTGGGTGTCTTCCCCTTTGCCTCTTGCTGCCGTTGCTTTCCTGGGTCGTCGACCTTTTCGCGCTCTGCCCCCCCCGCGGCCACCCGGGCTGCGTGAAAGCTGGTTCAGGAATTCGCCACGGTTGATCCCCCTAACACAAATGCTGCCAGATCCGCTCTTCAACGGGGGCCTCAGACTGGGTGGGGGAGCAGGCGGAGGATAATAATAATGTTGATGCTGAGGATGTGGATAAGGATGATTCTTGTGTGACGACGACGACGACGACTATGGCGATTACGACGCCGACGACCATGACTATATCGTGGTGATAATGCTCATGCTGACGTTAATGAGTGTGACGGTGACGGCGTTAATGATGCGCATGTTGACAACATGATGCTGGCGGTGATGACGATGCTGATGACGATGGATATGATGATGAGGGAGAGGAGGGGGCGGAGAGTGAGGAAGGGGGGGATGAGGCTTCAGGGGGTCCCTGGAGGTCCTTCTTCGGTCCCGCAGGCTTTCAGAGGTTTCGGAGTCACAAAGAGTGCCAACAACGCACAGCCACCTGGATCCTCCTTCTGTTCTTTCCTACTCCTCCTCATGCTCTTGCTCTTCACCTCTCCCTCCCCCTCCCACTCCCTTTTTTGCTTGCGCCGTTCTCATTGCGTCGTTGCAGGATGAAGCACAGCTACAAACGGTTCATGGCTCTCGCGCTACGCTACGGGCGCACTAGGCCGACACATCTCCCGGCAGCCTTGACAGCAGCACCCCTGCCTGTGGGCTGTTTCAATATGGCCCCGTGCGCAGAGTGGCGCGCCAGCGCATCGCATCTGTCCCGCTCCCGTCCCCCCTCTCCCCTCCCGCTCCTCCTCCTCCTCCTCCTCCTCCTCCTCCTCCTCCTCCTCCTCCTCCTTCCCTCGCGCCGCTTGCTGGCCACTCGTTCGCTTGATTGGACTTGAGCGCCCAGCGGAAGCGCCCTCACCCCGACGGCGGCTTCGCGGGGGCCGCGCCGCGCCCGAGCAGAGTGGCGACAGCACGGCCATCCAGAGGGCGGGCTCTCTCGACTGGATCATTGCCTCATGCTGGTGTCCTCCTTCTTCCTTCCCCCAAGCGACGTGGGCGTGCCGCGCGGAGGCTCCAGACCGCCTGCCCGGGGGAGACGGCCGCCCCTTCGTCGGCTTCTCTGGCCTGGAGGCAAGGGCGACCAGCCCCGAGTATGAGCAGAGGCCGTCGGGCGCAGGGCGGGGGGAGGAGGAGGATGAGGAGGAAGCGGCGGCTGCGGGGGCATGAGGAGGCGGCAGGGGCAGGAAAAGGAAACGGGTTGAGGCGGAAGAGGGAGGAGGAGGAAGGAGGAGGAAAGAGGAGGACCAGTGCAAAACCAGGAATCATCAACGATATTGCAGTAAGCCCCCCCAAGCTCCTTCTCCATAGGCTCCTCCACGGATTCATGTCCACTGAGGGAAATGCCGCTTGGATAACAACCGTTCAATCCGGAATTGTGCCAGAACGCCATTTCTGGGACGGCAGCGGCGCGCGTCATTGTTGCCGCTTGACGATCCTGAATCGTGCCAGAGCATCATTTCTGGGACTTCAACACCGCGAATCAACGTGAGTATTGCGCCCTGACGTTCCGACATCGTGCGAAACCCCCATTTTTGGCGCGTTAACCATGAGAACCTTTTTGAAATTTGTGTAGGTTCTTCAGACGAGTGTGCGCGGCGTTAGGGCGAGAACCACATTTAGGAAAAGAGCCGGTCTCAATTTTTTTTCCCACATCCAAAGTTGGGTTCTTGCTTTCTTTGCGCACCCCGCGCAGGAACACTCACCCCACCCCCTCTCCTCTTCTGCCTTCGCACACTCGCTCACTCACTCATCATCATCACCACTCACTCACAGTCACACTCACTCACACTCTCTCATCATCAACATCAGCATCATCACTCGCGCTCTCTCACACGCTCAGTCACTCACATACTCATCATCATCATCATCATCATCATCATCATCATCATCATCATCACTCGCACTCTGTCACGCGCTCACTCATTCACATACTCACCTGGAGGAAATCTCAGGCGGGAGTTCGTCTGTGAGTGAATTGTGACGAAGTCTCAGGCGGGAGCCCCCTTCCTATGGGGCCCGCAGATCATGTTGGTAATCCGAGCGGGTCATCCAAACCCTGTAACTGTCGTCACTTTTGGGCTCCTCAAGCTTGAGTACGGAGGAAGTCTCAGGCGGGAGCTTCGTCTGTGAGTGAATTGCGAGGAGGTCACAGGCGGGAGCCCCTCCCTATGGGGCCCGCGCTTCATGTTGGTAATCCGAGCGGGTCATCCAAACCCTGTAACTGTCGTCACTTTTGGGCTCTTCAGGCCTGAGTTTGGAGGAAGTCTCAGGCGGGAGCCTCGTCTGTGAGTGAATTGTGAGGAAGTCTCAGGCGGGAGCCCCCTCCCTATGGGGCCCGCAGATCATGTTGGTAATCCGAGCGGGTCATCCAAACCCTATAACTGTCGTCACTTTTGGGCTCTCGCGCTGCCAGAACGCCACTCCCGGGCCACATTGTGCATGCCCGGAGCCAACTGTAGGCCACTTCGTGTTCTTCGTGGTCCCAGAACACCATTCCCGGGCCACATTTTGAAACCCCGGAGCCAACTGTAGGCCTTTTTGTGTTCTTCCTGTTCCCAGAACACCACTCCCGGGCCACATTCTGGATGTCCGGAGCCAACTGTAGGCCACTTTGTGTTCGTCGTGTTCCCAGAGCGTCATTCCCGGGCCACATTTGTGAATTTCGAATCCGAGGAGGGTCCTCGGAATTCGTATGCCTGTCGTCACTTTTGGGTCCCCGCGGCCTGAATATGGCTGTCATGGGCCTGGAGTTCGACAAGAGAGCGGTTTTGTCCAGGGCGGAGGCGAAGCAGCTCGCGGCAGAGCTGGGCTTCGTGCTGCCCGCCTGAGCGCGGTTGCGCCCCGCTCGAAGCCCGCGGGGTTGTCCCAACGGCTTGGTCTTGCGCGCAAGCGGCTCGCTGGGTTATCCCGACAGCCTGGCCCGCGGGGTTGTCCCAACGGCTGTGCGACGTGGCCATTAGAGAACGCGCCTGTGCTGGCCGAGGCGGCGACGGCGCCGAGCAAAACCGACATGCGCGCTCGTGCAATGGAAAGGCGAGGCGGTGGCGGGGCGCGAAAAAAACAGGAGGGCGAGGTCGGGGGCAACGTAGGGAGCGGGGGGAGGGCCCGCGCCAGGGCGAGAATAAATATACGCAGAAGAGACAGTCAGGACGCCTCACCAACCACGAGGACGACGGTGAGCGCTTTTTCCAGATTCGCCCAGAGGATTCTCATGCGGGGTCCTTCCGTCGGGGTATTTTTTGCATTTTTTTGCACGAATTTGCGCGGCGCTAAGGCGATATCCACATTTTGAAAACGTACTGCCCCCATTTGCGAAGCTCTTGCAACTTTTTTTAAACCAATGTGCGCAGCGCTTAGGCGAGAACCACATTTTGAAAGCGGACCGCCCTCCATCCGTGAAGCTGTTGTAAATTTCAAATTTCACGCTCATGCGCCGTGAGGAAGTCTCAGGCGAACTACCGGGGACCGCCCTTTCGACCGGCTTCGGGGTGCGACAGGACTCTGACATGGGACAGGCGGGGCCTCGGCACCACGGCAGGCCGACTTCGTGGTGCCAGGCGGGACAGGACAGGCGGGGCCGACTTCGTGGTGCCGAGGCCCCTGGCGGGGCCTCGGCACCACGCTCAGGACTCTGACATGGGACAGCCGGCGCAAGGCCAATGGCATCGAGAGAAAACAAGGTCAAAGCCAGCGACGATATCAACTACCCCAAAAGGCACCTCCGCGCAGCAGAAGATGCTGCGCGCCCACGTGAAAAGAGCCGCCATCTTGAGGCAACAAGGTCCGAGGACTGCGACGACGAACTGAAGGAGGATATGCAAATCTCAAAGCAGGCTACAGAACCTATGGCAGCACGCCGCGAGTACATTCAGAACATCCACGCGGAGACGCTGACCAGGGCGCAGGAGGAGATCGAAACCGTGGAGATTTCCCCAGCTGATATGAGACATCATATGGGACATCAGCCTTTGACATCGAACGACAGCCAGCTGCAGAGCGAGCTCCAGGACGCGCAGAAGAGGCTTGCCGACAGCAGCCGCGCGCGGGGCCACGTGGGGCGTATTTCTCGAGTCGCAGAGAGATTGGCAGCATAGGGGCAGAAGTGTTGCAGCGTCAGCGTGGCCCAGGAAGCCGAGGGCCGCGTCGCCAGCGTCGAAGCCAAAGCGGCAGAGGACAGGATCAGGGGCCGCAGCGACGACAATTTCCCGCAGCAGAGGTGCGGGATAGCAGGGTCAAGAAACATGCGAGCGAGGCGGGGGTTGCCGGGGCAGCGCGGGCGCGCGGGGGCCACCGCCCACGTGGCCGACGACCAGTGCTTGCAGAGGCTTGCCAGCATCGCGCAGGACATGCGCGGGCGGGGCCCTGGGGGTGCCGGGCACCAATGGGGTTGCCTCCAAGAGGTCAGCGCAACTTCGAGCAGCAAGTGAAGCGCAATGCTCCACAAGCTGAAGGACAGGTTTAGCTCGCACTGCAGCGAGCTGAGTTGTACCGCCTCAGGGAGGCGCAGTTGACATTTGTCAAGGAGACGCACGAGAGAAGGGCGGAGGAAGCTACCGAGGAGTTCAAGGGCGCCTGAGGGGCGGCTATCTTCGCCCAGCAGCGCCTCGACGGCGTCGAGATGGTCGACGCCGTCGACCAGACTGTCAGCGCGCCGATCGCTGCGGCCGACAAGGACCTTGCAGCCGCCGCGACTGCAGTCTTCCCGACCTCCCAATCACTTGAGCAACCGCTGGTGGATGGGGATATGCAGGCGACCCAGACGCGGTCCAACGAACTTCTCCGCGAAGTCGACGTACCCGCCATACTAGTATCGCAACGTGGTGAGCATCCTCAGGGGCAGCGCCGCGTGCCCCCTCGGCTAGGGACGCAGGGCGGCGCGACCTGCGCCGCCAGGGGGGCCTTAGCGGACCGGCGAGATAGATGGGCCAACGCCGCTTGCTCTATCCAGGATTTCGGGGTACATGCCGCCAGGGCGACCGCGTCCGCCGTCCAATCGCGCTCGAGAGATCATCGGCGCAGACGCGCCATCACTTGTGAAGAATGGGTGGCGGCGTCGCCCCGACAGCGCCGATGACGCCGCCGCCAGCAAGCCCTAACAGAACCTGCGCTGGCGCACCTGGGAGAGGATCGTCGGCGCCGCCGTCGCGGCGGCTCCCGGCGCCGACGCCAGGGGGCGCGGGCGAGCGCAGAACGAAGAGGGCTACTACCGATCCCGGCGATCCCCGCGACATCGTCGCTAGGGCCCCCGTGGCCAACGCCCCCGCTGACTAGGCTGCGACGGGCGACGGAGCCGACGTTGCCGTGGAATCGCCGGACTCGCGTTGTCCTTCGCGCCGTGGCGTCGGACCGCGCCAGGACGGCGCCGCGCGTGGTGAGTCTGGCGCGCCGCCGCAGATTGCCGAGCCAGACTGGCAAGTCCCGCCGCGACGGGGCGACGGCGATCTCAACCAACAGTGGGAAGAGGTAGTTCAGGCGGGCAGATCAACGGGCCCTGACCGACGACGGGGGCCAGCCACGGCGCCGTTTCGACGGCGCGCTAAGCCGGCGAGTTCCAGCGTGGTGAATTCGCGGCGGCCAGCGCCGCTGCCACCCCCAGCAGAGCCGCAGTGCACCGCGGTGCCAGTGCAGCGCGGAGGAAGGACTCATCAACCAGGACCTTGCGACCGAGTGTTGAGACAGGATGTGGGAAACCTGCGTCGACATCGGCGGCCCCGTGACCTTCGCCCAGCAGATGTGGAAGAAGGCCCCTGCAGCGGCAGGGGCGCCGCATCGCGTGGCTGCGCCGATGGGCCCGCCGCCCAGGAGGTCAACAATCATGTCCGCGAGCCGCGGGCCTCGCCGATAGGCAACCCCGCTCCGTGCGAGAGGGCCAACCATCGGGAGACCGCGCCACGGGGAGTCCAGCGAAAAAGCGGCAACGTCCAACTTCGCAGTGACCGAGCCGATCCCCGACGTTTTTTTTGCGCACTTCTCCGCCCCGCCTCGCCGTCGACTTCCCCGAACTACGCGAGCCAGGGCTTTTCGGTCCACGTGCCATCATGGCTCTCGAACTTGCCGCGCCCAGAACGCGCGGAGCGATCGAGCGGATCCACCCGTGCACCGA